CTTTCACCTCAGCTCAGGGACATTCCTGAACCCTGTTTAGGTACTCCCTACCTGTGCCTTGGCCTGGAAACCCTTTTTAAGCAGTACGCTAGGGCAAGCATGAGGCTTATCTTGTCTCTATTCTCTCAGGGATTACTGTCCTGTTGTATAACATTTAAAAAAATTTGTTCATATGTTTTGTCCAATTTTTAAGTTACAGCAGAAAGGTTTAATTGGTCCCTGTGACTCCAGAATTGGAAGTCTAGCATACTATATAAGTTCCACAAGGACAGGAATCTTTGCTGTGACTATTTTTTCCCTAATTATTATTATTATTTATTATTTATTTTTAAAGATTTTTATTGGGGAATTGGGGGGATGGGAACAGTGCTGGGGAATTGGGGGAAGGGGAACAGATAATTGCTGTCCTTCTGTTCTTCAGTCTAGTTGTAGAGGACGTTGCTTCACTGGCCCAAGTTGGCACCATCATTGCACTCTTCCCGGGTGAGGCAGATCAGTCCCCGGCTTCTGAACAGCCACTCACTGCGACTGCTGGCTGCTTACGCTGGCTGCTGGCCACACATGGTAGCCCATGGCAACCCACTGCAGCAGGGGCTGCAGCCTACGCCATTGCCAGCGACTCACGGCAGCCCAGCTCCAGGTTGAGCTGTTGTTCAGCATCTTAGCTGTAGAGGGCAGTGTGACTGACCCTCATATGTGGGATCCGAACCAGGGCCCTCTGGCGTCCCAAGCCAGCTCTTAACCATCACGCCACTTGGCCGGCCCTCTCCCTAATTATTTTAAACCTCCAGAACTGTGCCCAGCATATTAGGTACTCAGTAAATATTATTTTATTGGGATATTTGTTAAATAAGATTATGTTTGAGAACTCCTTCAGCCATTATTTGAGTGTTTACTCTGTGCTGGGCACTGATTATACAGTGGTGAATAAAGCAAATATGGTTCCTGCCTTCACAGAGCATAGTGCTTAAATATCAAACAGCAAATAAATAAACAGTGGTCATAATTATAAATTGTGATAAGCGTTTTTCCGTGAAGGAAAAGAATGGTGCATTCTGAGAGAGAATAATGAGGAAAGTCATTATGAGATGAAGTGGTCGGTAAAGACTACAAAGAGGCAATACTTCAGCTGACTCCTAAAGGAAGAGAAAAAGACAGCCTGTGGAGGCCATAGAGATAAGACTGTTCCAGGGAGTTGTGTATGTGAAACTCTGAGACTTGGAGATTTCAAAAAATTAGAGGACACCTGTGTGGGGAGGGAAGAATGCCACAACATGAAATTGGAGCGATGGGCGGACCCAAAGCAGGCAGGACCCACAGGCTGTTTTATGATGTTTTGGTTTTCTACAAAGTACAGTGGGAAGCTATTAAAAGTTTTAAATAGGAGAGTGATATGAGCTCATATTTTTAAAATATTTTTTATAACTGCAGTATGGAGAATGCTACTCCTGGCACAGTTGCAAAAATAGGAAAGTCATTTGGAACGGAGATTCTTAAACTTTTTTTGTGCCCTTAAACTGTTTGGCTGCTTGTTGAAGAATATGGTCTCCTTCTCAGAATAATATTTTAAATCACAAAGGAAACTAATTATATTGAAATATAGTTCCTCAGAATATTTTTTTAGAAAAACATTTGTGATACAGTTATATGTGTACCCCTTTATTAACTGATTATATAAGACCTAGTAGTGGGTCTATAATTATAAATTGAATCAACAGAAAGGAAATATGTTTGCAATAGCTGTAATATGATGGAAAATATCTGATTTCTATTGGTGACTAAGTCACAGAAACTGCCAATGCTACTGTAGCATGTTGGTGTGTTGCCTACATCTACAATGGAAAGAAATTTCCATTTGAGGTTAGTGAAAATAAAGATGTGATATTTTTGTGATTGAAATTCACAGACCACCCCCTGAATTCTACCCACAGATCCTGTCTTAGTCTGTTTGAGCTGCTTTCACAGAATACCATAGACTACATGGCTTATAAGCAGTAGAAATTTATTTCTCACAGTTCTGGAAGCTGGAAGTCCAAGATGAAGGTGCCAGCAGATTTGGTATCTGATTAGGGCCTGCTTCCTGGCTATAGAAGGCTATATTTTCACTATAAACTCACATGGTGGAAGAGGCAAGGGAGCTCTCTGGGGTCTCTTTCATAAGGGCACTAATACCGTTTATGGGGGCTCTGTTTTCATGACCTAATTACCTCCCAAAGTCTCCACTTCCAATTACCATCAAATTGGTGATTAAGATTTCAACATATGATTTTGGAGAGACACAAACATTCAGTCTATATAGAGCAGGTCCCTTGGAAATTCTAGCTTAAGTGGTTATTTCAGTGATCACGGAGAAAGAAGCTAGAGGCTTGAACTGGTGTAGGAGTAATAGAGATGGCAATAGAGGATAATTTTGAGATGTTTTTGGAAGAATCAAGGACTGAAAAGGGAGAGATTACCTAGAGTTATTGGGGAAATCTTCATAGAAGAATTAGGCATGGAGGTGTAAAATGTGAAAGAAGTTGTGTACAAAATGTTAGCAAGAATAGTCGGAAAGCAAGATTTGCCAGGCAGACTATTGCTATGAATCATTGTAAGGTAAGGGACAAGCATGGAAGCTATGGGTTAGAAAGGAAGAGCATTCATCAAGATTAAGTCCGGAATACTGAGACCAGGACTTGGCCACTCACGAGCTGTGAGACATAGGACAAACACTTACCTAATGAAACCTCAACTTCACATATTAAAGATGAAGATAATAATAGCTTGTGACCCATAATATTGTTGTAAGAATTAGATAATATTCTGTATGTAAAATGATTAGCACAGTTCTGACCCATACAAAGGGCAGTTCAACATTAGCAATTATTCTAATTACTGCTAGGGTTCTGACATTGTCTTGGACTATCACCCACAAGAGATTGCAATTTGGTTGAGGAAACAAGGTAAAACACATAGTATATTTTGAGAAGGAAATCATTCAGAATCAAGCGTTAAAATGTAAGATATGAGCAATTCTAAGCTATTAATTTTACCCAGGATAACACCTTCTGTTTCATAAAAAGATTTTGAAATTTTCTGCCACATATTTGTGTGCGAGCATTGCAAATGAATAATGATGGTGCTGGATCTCTTCTTAATAAGTGAGTTTTAGATATTACTGCTGCCCAGTCTCTGCTGCTTACAGCTAAGTTCCTGTTTTGGTGTAATAATGACTATAGCTCAAACAAGTAAAAACCACAAAAAAATAATCAAGATTCTGAAAGTCTGTCCCTTGCTTTTATTTACAGGAGCAAAGACAAGAACAGCCTGTTTCCTTTCATTCTGTTATAGTAGCATTTCATAAAGATGCACAAAGAATTTTAATCAACCTTTGGAACTAGCCCTGCATTTGACTAGTTTGTGTGTAGATGGCTGTGGCTTAATGGGAAAAAAAGTAGGACTCGAGTTCTTTTTCTGCTGGCTGCTTTGCTATATGACATTGAACAACTCATGAAATATCATCTATAAAAGGAAGATAATACTTTCTACCTCGAGTTTATTGTACAGGTCAAAAGAGAAAACTTAAGTCAATGTCTGGAACAAAATAGAAACAGAATAAAAATATTTTTATAAGCAATGTAATGCCTATTAAAGAGTGACACTTTAAGCCAAAAACTATAACAAGAGACAAAGAAGGTCATTATATATTGTTAAAGGTGTCAATTCATCAAGAGAATATAGCATTCATAAATATGTATGAATCCAATATAAGAGCACCTCTGTATATTAAGCAAATATTAACAGACCTGAAGGGAGAAATAGACAACAGTACAATAATAGTAGCAGACTTCAATACCCCACTTTCAACTATGGATAAATCATCCAAACAGAAAATCAGTGAGGAAACATTGGACTTGAACTTAACTGTACTTTATACCAAATGAACCTAACAAACATATACAAAACATTTAAGCCAACAACAGTAGAATACATGTTCTTCTCAACCACACACTGAACATTCCCCAGGATAGGTCAAATGACAGGTCACAAAGCCTGTCTTAGCAAATTTAAGAAGATTGAAATCATACCAAGAATCTTTTCCAACCACAATGGTATGAAATTAGAAATCAGTAATGGGGAAAACTGGAAAATTCACAAGTATATGGAAATTAAACAACATACTCCTGAATAATCAGCCAATGGATCAAGAAGAAATAAAAAGGGAAATCAAAAAATATTGTGAAACAAACAAAAAAAGTGGAAACAAACATACCAAAACTTATGGGATGCAGCTAAAGCAGTTCTAAGAGGAAAGTTTACAGGTGATAAATGCCTACATTAAAAAAGAAAATCTAAAATAAACTAGCTTTATGCCTCAAGAAACTTTAAGAGAACAGATTAAGCACCAAATTAGCAGAAGGAAGGAAATAACAAAGATCAGAGCAGAAATAAATGACATAGAGACCAGAAAAACAATAGAAAAGGTCAGTGAAACTAAGAGCTGGTTTTTTTGAAAAGATGAACAAAGCTGACACCCTTTTAGTTAGACCAATAAGAGAGAAGACTCAAGTAAAATCAGAAATGAAAGAAAAGACATTACAATTAATACTACGTGAACACCACATAAAAAGGGTCATAAGAGAATATTGTGAACAATTATATGCCAATAAATTGGGTAACCCACTCTCAGGGCTGTACAAATGCAGAGCTGATACTTGCATGACCCTGACTGTGAGCGTCTCCTTCAATTTTCTGCCCTAAGTGCCTTGTTCCCCTCATCCTAGTCCTGGTCCTGCTTGCAACAATCCTGTAAGGTCAAGATAGTCAACTCCCTTCTTTGCAAACAGTGGCTTATGGAGGTTGAGTATCTTGCTTCACTTTAACCCAAGCTAGTAAGTGGTGGAGTTAGGATTTGAACTGAATTCTTGAGGGAAGTTGGACACCAAATCCTGGGCCTTCACCGACTGCACCTGCATCAGCGCCTCACCTAAAGTTCCGGTTGTTGTTTTCTTCCTTTCCAGGTATCGAAAGCAGCTGCAGACTTGATGGCCTACTGTGAAGCTCATGCCAAGGAAGACCCCCTCCTGACCCCTGTTCCGGCTTCAGAGAACCCATTTAGGGAGAAGAAGTTTTTCTGTGCCATCCTTTAAGTCTTCATGAGAAGCCTGAAGAGCCTTGGGGCTCCTGGGACACTGATGTAGAGTTTTTAGCAAAGTGGGCACCTTTCTCGTCCACAGCATTTAAAGAGAGGGAGGAGAACCATCCTGGAAACTCCAGGCCATGCATGTTTAAAGAACTGATCCCCTTTATGAGAATGAAAGCCGATCCACAGCCTGAATTAAGAGATCTGATATCAGCAGAACTGCCTGGAGGAGGGGACTATGTAAAGATAAAAATCGGTGTCATTTCTTTTCTGCTCTCCCTCCCAAAACCTTATATTTCTGCTTCATATTTAAAAAATAAAAATTGAAACAGACAGCTGTCCTGAGCTAAGATGTGTATGACCTTCTTGAAATGAATATTGCCTTTAGAATACCCTTTGATCAGCTGAGTTGTCCAGTGTAACCGCGATTCAGTTTAATGGCATTGATGTCTAGTCTTTGCGCCTTTGTTCTCCTTTTTCTTTTTCCTTTCTCCCCTGCCTCCTTCTACCCTTCCCCGTTAGAGTAGTACAAAGATAAGGCTGGACTTGTCTGTGAGACTGAACTTCAAGGATGAGCAACCCAAAATGCTTAGGCAGATGTTTCCTGTGGTTTATCCTCTTGGTAATAACAAAAAAACAAAAAACACAAAAACAAAAAAATGCCGGTTGTCTGTGTTCTCTTATCACTATTCCTAACATTTGTACATGATAGCTTTGATTCTGCAAGTAAAAGTAAATCATGTGTTGTGACTGGTGCTTTCATATATTTGTGACAATTTTTGAGTAATATTGCATGAAAATGTCCCTATGTTACATCCATTCAGACGTTTTGTTGTTTTGCTATAAAGTTTGGAAAAGGAATGAGAGAGAAAGAAGCTGGGAAGGAGAAAAACTCTGTATCTTGAGAATTAAGATGACTTCAGAGCCTTAGTGGTGCCTAAAATACCTCCTACTTATCTGTGGTATAAATGCCTCTTCAATATGTTTTCCAGAATCCAAAGCATTTGGGTTTTACCCAGGATGCATGGCAGCACAGGTACCATCCATCATGCAGGAGCAGTAAGGATTCACCAGGAGCTGGGAGGTGCTTTTGTCATGGAATATGAGCAAATCCCTTCTTTCCCTAAATCACAGAAATTCTAGACTGAAAGAACGCTTTCTGTGCTGTTCTTAAGAAAAATGTGGCCCTTGTTTGTTCAAGTATCAGGAGAAATAAACACGGTACCAGAGAAGACCCATTCTCAGAATCCTGGCTATTCGCCTGCCAGGGAGGAGGGGTCAGGTGTAGCCCCCACAGCCAGCCCCACCAGATGGGGTCTGGCTCTTTTTTCCACTGAGATGGTCTTTATGTGTCACCTATTTTTTTTTTCCAATAGAATCTTTTCTTAGCTTTTGTTCTCCATCTTGTTTGATAGACTCTCTCAGTCTTTATTTACAGCTTCCTTGTAGTTAGAGCTCTCTTTTCCCCAGAGGTGATACTGAAAGTGATTTCTCATTGCAGCTCTAGCCTCTATCAGTAATGGGAGGCCCTGGAAGCCTTTGTTACTTTTTTTTCTGTGACATCCCCAGGCAAAAGAGGGCTTCTCTTACATTTGGTTTGCTTTGAAATCCCAAAGACAGTTTCCAAATTAATTTTATTCTCCTCTCTTTTTTTCCTCTTGTTTAAAAAGAAACAAAAAAGGATAAAGAGGAAAGAAAAGAGACAATAAAAATTCTTAATATGCCAAGGACAGATTTGGAAACAGACTTGGTAAATATTTTCCTTAGCTCCTTTCATGGGCATGCTAGTAAAAGAATGAATGCATCCAATTAAAGCTCACACCTGGGGTGGGGTTGGGGAGCGAATACTGAAATATTTGTGAAATGTATGAATGCACTTCTATAACCAGATATTTCTGTTCTGTTTAAACTTTGGAATTTTGTTACAGTTAGTGGGACACTGATGAAGATTTAGAGGGGAAAAACCCTGGCGGAGTATTTATTAAACTACAGTATTGTACCATCAGCTTAGTAATACTGTGGAATGAGCTAAAATCATATCCATTTTTTTTAAATGAGCCAAAATATGAATTGAATATGTGATCACATAAAAACAACTATGAATAAACACTCTTTGGTGGTGATTAAGGCCTCATTATAAGACCCTGATGATTTTCATAACCTACACCATTTGTTTTTCTCATAAGGACTCTTTATATTTTCATGTAAAGCTAGATTTTTGGAGCAATGAAAATGGAATTAAAATTTGAGGAAGCACCATAATACAGCTCTGGTAATTAAAAGCTAAGGAAATTCCAAACTTACCGTGACCTTGTTTATAAAAGGAGAGAGAAAGCAGTAAATATATACCGCATCTTAAGTTTAAGGAAAAAGTTTTGGCTTTTTTCATAATTTCATGTCCTATAGTAAGGAATTATAATGCCAGAGCCTTTATATGAGTTTTGGCTTATTGATATTTTTTACTTATTATGGGGGAAAACTTACGATTACTTACGCCTTTGAAGAGCTTTAATTCTTTTACAAATTCAACAATCATTTTCACCAGCATAATTTCATCTTAAGTGGTAACTAATAGGAAAAGTTAGTTTAATTATTCAAGGCCCTAATTTCTGTGTCTGATTTATTGAATGGTAATGAAATCTGCCATAGAATTGAACAGCAAAAATAACCCTTATATTTAGAAAAAATAAATCTCACATCATTCTCAATATTAACTCTAGTTTTTTTTTTGGGGGGGGGTTCAATTTTAAACCTAATACTATTTCTTTTAAATCAGAGGTTGCAAATAAGTACTTCAATCTGAGGCGAATTTTGCAATATTTGAAAGAGATTGCTTCCCAAGAAAAATTCTAAATCGTTTCTCCATACACTCACAACTGGAATTTTGAGAAACTGAGCATGCTGTCTTAGGGAATTTATGTACTTTTTTTGTTTTTAATTTGCTTCTACCTGCTCCTGGCAATGGTGGATTGTTACATATACATTAATGTTTTCCCAGCCCAAAAATTGTTAATGTTTTTCCTATATAAGATTTATGGAGTGTGTCTTTCAAAGAGAGGGAAATCCAGAAATGTTTGAGCAGGAACACCTGAATGTGATGTGCACATTTTCATCCCACATGTATTTGTTTTAATAAATGGAATTTTCAGACTCATTTCATATGCAGTCAATTTCGTTGCGAAGGCCTGTGGACCACCTCACCCATTGGTTACCTTGACAAGGATGACGACACTTAACAAGATGGATGCAGAAATTGCTTTTTCATTGCTTTTTCTCTAGGGTTTTGTGCATAGAAGTGCCCTAAGGAAGGACAAACTCACATGAGGTTCTTTAAAAGCCTTTCCCCCTGGCCTCTGCATCTCAGGTACAGGGCTTGGGGACAGAGGGAGATGGTGGGGTAGAGTCCAGGGCACCGGCAAGCTGGACCATGAAGACAAAAGAGCTGCATTTACATTCTAATGTGCTGTGGGTATGCCACATGGGAATTTTTCCTTTTCAAAATAAAACAAAAACACCCCACAAAGTGCTATTCTCCATAAGCTGTTCATGATTTAGAAGGAGTACTGGAGAAAATAAATGCTTAGAACTCAAGATTCACAAGCTCCTCGGAGATATTCTTAATCAAGAAAAGCTTCCATAGGTCCTTCAAATGATGCCAGTGAGTAATAAACCCTGTTAGTAAAAAAGGGAACCCTGGATCTCCTTGGACTTGTGCTGGTGACAGCAGAGTCTTTAAACCTCTGATAAAGGGGGCCCTGGAGTTTGTGCACTTGTCCATTACATCACTATTTCCAGGGACCACCTGCCTCAGAATCACCTGGGATCTGTATTAAAAAGGCAGGCTCCAGGCTCCTCACTAACTCAGAATTTCTGGCAGTAGCACTTAAGAACATGCGCTCACTGCATGCTATAGTCCGAGTACTACTAATTTAAGCACAACTGAGCCTTGAACAATGCAGAGTTGGTGGTGCCAACCCCCATGCAGTTGAAAACCCAAGTATAACTTGACTCCCCGATAACTACTAATAGCCTCTGGTTGACCATAAACCTTACCAATAACATGAACAATCAATTAACACATATTTTATATGTTATATGTATTATATGCTGTAGTCTTCCAATAAAATTAGCTAAAGAAAAGAAAATCTTAGTAAGGAAACCATAAGGAAGAAAAAACACATTTACAGTACTGTATGTATTTATTGGGGGGGAAAAAAAACATATATAAGTGAGCCCATGCAGTTCAAACCCATGTTGTTCAAGGCTCAACTGTGCCTATGACAGGTAGCTTTTCATAATGCCTAAGGAGAGACACAACGCAATCGTAAATGTGCTTGCTCTAATTCCTACAGCGCAGGGAGTGACTGCGGAAGAGGGAACATGTAAACTGTGGGTGTGAATCTAGGCAGCTCTTGGACATGAGACACTGCGGAGGAAGCTGGTGGGTTTTAACTCGGCTCCTGTTCTGTCGAGCCCCACGGGAGGATTACCTCCAGCTCTGGCTCTTTAATAAGCTGGTCACATTTTCGCACTTACAATGACGTGGGAATTGGAGCTGGGTCAGCGCCAATCCACAAATTGCAAATAATTTGCCAAGGGAAATCCCTGTCCCTTCGGTTCTGCCCCAAATCTACATTTTCTGTCTTTTTAGAACCAGGAGACTCAGGCAGAATTTACTTTTAATGAAGGGGGTCATGGGCTCCCAGGCCTTTCCTCAGCAAGGACTCCTACTGTTTCTCCATGTCCGTAATAAAAGAAGCCTTGGAGTGGGGGTGCATGGCCACTCTGAGGGAACAGAAAGACTGTGCTTGGTGACTTTGTACTATACACAAGCAAGATCCCATCTAGCCCAGCTAGAGAATCAGAACCAAGCCCCAGAGTTCCCATATGACGTTGGGCAAGTCCTTTGACCTCTTCATGCTATAAAATGGGGACAAGAATGCCTGATTCACTTGCCTCACTAAGTTGTCAAAGCCAAATGAGAGAGAGCAGGTAACGAGGCATCACGAAGGAAGATGTGATAAAGAATCGTTAGCACAGCTTGTACAACTTTCAAAGAAAGGAATAGACTAGAGAGTTCCTCCTTACCTCTTGATTCACCCCCTTTCCTCTTTAACTCCATATCCCCTGATTCAGACCCTCAATACCTCATGTCTGAGTTCCTGCCACACCCACTGGTGTGGCCCCTTTGACTCTCTCTCATCTCCTCCCACTCTAAGCCATCCCACTTACCACTTTACACATTAATCAGGATTCCTTTGGCTGCAAGTGGCAGGAACCTCACTGACACCGGCTAATAACTGAAGAGCTCAGAAATAGGGACTGCTTCAGGCTCAGCTGGATCCGGGTGCTCAGATGATGTCGTCTGGTCTCTCTTATCCCTTGTCTCTTTTCCTGGGCTGGTTTAATTCTCAGACAGACTCTTCCCCTGCAGCCTCAGGATAGTGTCAGCAGCTCCAGGCTCACATCTCGCTAATTTAACAACCAGAGAAGAAAGACAACAGCTCCAGCAAAAAGTCTCGGGCTGTATCTGTGAAACACTTCCTAAGATTCTTATTGGCTGGATCTGGTTCACATGCCCATCCACCCCTGAACCTGGACATAGAGGTAAGGTCGTTGGTGCCACAGGGGCAGAGCTGCTCTAAGGAAATTGGTGTTCCTACTAGAGGAAGAGAGATCGAAGGCAAAACAACCGGTGTCAACCACATCTTGCCAGACTCACTGATGTAACCACATATTTCACCACGCTCGGAAACCCAGAGTGCTCTGGCTCATGGTGCTCTTATCAACCTATCAGATCCACATTCAACCACCTGACTGTCAAGGCCCACCTTTACCTCGTTTGCTAAACTTTCTTCTGATTCATGTTGCCTTCTGTGAATGTAACATGTATTACAATCCTGCCTCCACACCTTTGCTTATGAGGTAAATAAACCTTCTGGAATGCCATTACTCAACTCCTCAAGTAAATAATTCTTCTCAGCGTTCAAGGCCCACTCAGAATTCCAAGTTGTCTATGAATGACTTCAGGGAATACTTTTTCCTGTCTCAATTTCTGTTGCCCTTGTCATCAGCCCCAAGCAGTTTAGTATTTGACTGTATTTGAAGTCCCTGCCTTCATGGACCTTCTGCTATAGTGGAGGAAGTGGTCAAGTAAATTGTCAATGACTAGTCAGAGCGAGAAGCTCTAGAGCACAAGAAGCTGAGGGGAGGAGGGCAGAGGAGGTTTACCAACCAGAGAAGGTAATGTTGAAGTTAATGGTTCATTTGTGAGAATCTTGTCTCTCACCATAATCTTCTAGGGAGTAGAGAACACCACTTGGTGTTGGACAGGCCTCTCTTTAATCTCCCTCGGTGCCTGGCACAGCACTTAGAATCACAATAATACTTAGCAATGATTGTTGATGGGCTGAGCACAGGACAAATGCCTGCAGAGAAATGGGACAAGGCAGAGGCATAACTAGTAAAAGCTGGTCTCGTGAGCTTGCCACAGGCAGCTAAAAATGAAGCTCTCCACTGCACCATGGGCAGCAGTCGGCTCTGGGCACAGAGAGACAAACCAAGCTACAGGGAGCTTGTGGCCTCTCTTCCCCCAGCGAGTACCAGCTTTGTGTCCCCACGGCTTCATTCTCTTTAGCCAGCAGCCTCATGGCCTCAGTGATCCTACCACTCTCCAACCTGGAAATGGGAATTGCTGGGTCCCCATGGGCCCAGGGTCCGGATGAAATACACCACTGGCCACACTGCCTTAATTTTAGCCCCTTCCCACTGTCCGCTGACAATACTATCTCTAGTTGTCCTCCACTGTGTCTACATGTGGCTATTTAAATTTAAATACAAATTGAGTTGAATGGAATTAAAGACTGAGTAGCTCAGCCACACTAGCCATATATCAAGTGACCAATAACTACACGGAGCTAGTGGCTACCGTATTGGACAGAGCTAAAGTCCATTTCCACCATTGCAGGAAGTTCTAGTGGACAGCCCTGCTCCAGAGCAGTGGTTAGCAACCTTTTCTCCACACCATACAGCTGAACAAATATGCCTTCTCCTTGTGCCCAAATTCCAGCAACACACACACACACGCGCGCGCACACACACACACACACACACACACACACACACACACACAAAGAGAGAGAAAGTCTAAGTTCTATAATAATCCATAATAATCGTTAACAATTGGGCAGATGTTATGGTAAATTCATACAGGGTGCGGCATAGAAGAGACAGCCTATGGAGTTACATATCATCCCACAAATTTACCCCTGTCTCACTCTAGAAAATGCAATGATAATAATCATGATGATGATAATAATAACAGCAGCAACAGTAAAGTGAACACTAAGTATTTATGTGCCAGGCACAACGCTAAACATCTTATAGATACCATTTAATTTAACTCTCACAATAACTCTCACAATATCACATAACATGGATATTATTTATCTCCCAGAGTACTTTCTGTGCCTTGTGTCACAGCCAGTGACCCACTTCTGATTTCAGCCACAGCTGCAGTGGAGATTTCTGTGCAAGCACATTCTCCCCCAGAGAATCAGTGTCCCCTGGGGCAATCCTCAACCAATGAGGGACAAATGTCTAAGGGCCCACCCTTCAGAGGGTAATTCTGGAGTGTATTGTATGTGATTGTTCAGAGGATCTCTGGCAGGATTGAGCCTCAATTGTCCAGAATAGTAACCAACCCAATAACACACCATATTGGTCTTTCTTCTTTAAACGTCTTCCCCAGTAAACTACCTGCATCCAAGTCCTTGACTCAGGTTCTGCTTCGGGCGAGATTCAAGCAAATTCAATCCCATTTTACAGATGAAGAATTTAAGATTTAAATAGGTTGACATTTTCCCAAGTTCACATTGCTGTGAAGTGGGAGGTCAAGGGTATGAACCTAGATCTACCTTGATTCCAAACATTTAACTCTTAACTACTATTTTATAAGGTAAACTGAAATGCAAGCACATAAGAGGGAGGTTATAAGAAAAGTTCTGAAGCTGTTCTTATTTACAGAATAAGCTGATTGTTAGTCAGCTTCAAACCTCCACATTGCTTCTCTGGAATGAAGAAACCAGTGAACTCTTCCTTGTCAATACTTACCTGTTCTTCACTGTGGTCATTTGGTATCTATTGGGTCGTCGG